GGATTGGCAACAGATGTTAGCTCAAGGCCAATTTTCCTCACCAAAAAAAAAAAAAGAACACACTTAAAACAAAACTACATTGAATATATAAAAAAAAAGACATCATGCAAATAGTAAAATAAATCAGTGATATGATCAGACAAAACAGAATTTAAGGCTAAAAGCATTAAATAGAGATAAAGAGGGGGCCTACACAATAATATAAGAAATAATCCAATTGACAGAAATTACAAATTTATAACCACATGACAACATAACCTGGAAATATACAAAGGAAAAAATGGATCAGAAATACTTTTTAAAATTTTAAAGTGTCCATTCATATTGAGATATTTTTAAATGCCAATCTATACGTTTCTAGTCGCCATAAGCAAAAAAAAAAGAAAAAGAATATTTGAACCACAAAATAGCAAACCTAATCATATGTATGTGTGTGTGTATATATACACATATATATCCCCAAATAGAAAATATACACATAGATTATTTTCAAGTATACATGGTACATTTTTTAAAAATTACTACATACCAGGGCATGAAGAAAACTTCAACAAATTACAAAGAATGGTATCATATAGACAATTGTACCTTACCGCAATATATTTTCTTTGTATTTATCCTTAAAGTTAGAAAACAGTAATAAACAGGATTTTATAAATATATGCATACTTATATACCTGCGCTTGTATATTAAACAATGTTGAGGAAATATAGAGGAAAATAGTTACTTAGAATCATTTATTTTTCAAATTTAAAATACTGTCTCTGCTATTTTGTGGGGATCATCTGGCCAACTCAATTGCTAAAACAAAGAGTTATTTTCAAAATGTCATAGTACATAAACTGTAAGCCAGCATACCGAAGCAACACTATTATTCTTCTTTCCAACTAATTATTTGAGAGCCTCTGAAGAGAACAGTGGTCATTAGTGAAAAATTGATTTTTGTTAAGCTTGAAGAAATGAAGAAAGAAACGTTGTTTTTTTTCTTTTTTACCTGAAGTTGTACTCCATTGTGTTTTATAAAATCACTTTAGGATGTACTAAAGACCACACAGCAATTTTCAGGTAATCACAGGTAGGCGAGAAGAAAGACAAGGGCAGGGTCAGGACCCCAGTGCAGTTTGGACTCTGGGAGGTCAATGGGAACCAACATCTTCAATGACTTCTGGACTTCCAGGATAAGGGGTAGGCACCTTAAAACAAAAACAAAACTTTGGTCCACAATCTACAGGAAAAGGAAAATCCTGGGGAAGTTTAAGAGGACTAACTTTGCACCTAAGCAGATTAAAAATTAGATCAAAATATAAGGTGAGATTAGAGTCCATATCTGAGGGCAGAGTAGGGTGCATAGGCAGTAGATGCTGTCAGACTGTGGGATTTTCCCAGCACCCCCTTCCTGCAGTCCCGGATTCAAGGTTGTGTTGGATACAAACTCCGTGTATCCTCTTGCCTGCCTTCTTTTTTCTGAAGGAATCGCCTGCCTCCCAGACCACACTGCTGCCACCTTGGCCAGGGCATTTGCCAAATCTCCTAAGGTGGCTGGAGTCCAGGTTGAAGACCCGAGCCTGCACTACTCAAGCTGAGTGAGACCTAACCGTGCCAAGTCGCCCTTCTGCTCCCAGTGTAGATGAAATGTCACACCGTGGGGCATGGGTGTGGTTTTCTGAGCAGCCACTAAAGGATTGGACAATACAACCCAGAAGTACAGGACAGTCTATTCTCTATTAGCTGAAACTTGACTGATGGGAAATGGGACATTGGTCGCAAGGGAAGACAAATTCCCTCTTCTGTCTTCCCTGTGGATTGCTGTAAGATTTGATTTCTTCCTGAAGATCTTCTGGAGAAGTCCCAGGTGCTAAGTCAATGTCGCTGCCAAAAGGCAGCTGAGTCTCTTCACAGCTCCTTGTGAAGCGATGGCTGGCATGGTAACACGTCACATCATTCTGTTTCCCCTATTTCCTCACCTTTACCATCCTGGGCTTGCACTTCCCATATTGTGTTGGCCCTTCAATCCTTATCTCAGGCTGTATTTTGTAGGAAGGTTTTCTGAGAGGGCTGACAACAGTCTTATTTTCCTGGAATGCTGGATATTTCCCCTTGCCCCCAGGAGTCACTCTCCACTTGTCTCCACCCTGTCCTCTGCCCTGGGAGGCTGTTGACCTATATCAACAGGGCGCCCACGCCCTCCGGGCACCAGTTAGGTCCAGCCAATGGGGTGCCCTGGTAGGAGATTAGAGGGAGAAAGTATTTATTCTCCTGGCGCCTATGAGGTCACCTTGGGCTGACTGTGTGCCTCAAATGAAAGTCACAGCTGGTGGTCTCCTCTATCTGATTTTCTTTCTGATTTCTGAGGCCTGCTTCCTCCTCCCATCCCCTAAGGCCTAGGGGACATAACAGCTCCACACTACTACCCTCAGGTCACTCGCTATCCCTTGCAGCTCCTCTTCGCCCTGCCCACTCCTTTGTAATTAATCTCTTTATAAACAAATTATTCCAATTTGAATTATTCCAATTTGAGAGTGCCATCTGCCTCCTTTTGGGATCGATAGTGAAAAGGAATGGTTCAATTACAATCCAGTTTATCTGTGTTGGAATGGTGCTTGGCCATTATAAATCAGTTAATGTTTGGCAGCAAAAGCAAATGATGCATTTTTTTTTTTTTTTTTAAATCACTTAAGAAGTCAAGCAATCGGGGTTCTGGCAGGAAACAGAATTCCATCACCTGAAGGGGACTTTAATAAAGGGATCATTTCTGGGAGAGCAGGCAAAGTAAAGGGAATCAATAGGGGATGGTGAGGCACCTGCGACAAGAAAGGGCAGGAAACGTCACCACCCCAACTGCTGGCAGAACAAGAGGAAGAAACAGCGTCACGAAGCCGGAGCCCAGTCCCAGTGCGAGTCCTGGAGGAGCGGCCATCCTCCAGAGCGCCAGTCACGGAGGCGCCCAGGCTTGCCAGAGCTTCGTCTGCAGCAGGTTGGCAGTGGGAAGGAAACGCCCTGACCTTTCTCCGTTCCTGCCCACCAGTCTTCTCTCTCCAGTCTCTAATCTGCAGTCGGCGCCTCCCGTTGGCTGAACTCAATTGGAAACCAGAATGACAAGACCCATGGGGTCAGCCTGCTGCGGCTCAGGGTGGAGCTGAGCAGGCAGAGGTCTGGGTTGGCGGGAGGCGGGGAGGGCAACGGACAATAACCAGTACGACGGGGATCTCAAACTCCATGCAAATATAATCGTAATTTTGTGAAAAGTGATGCATGTACTTATGTATGAGAAGACTGAACTAGAAATTTAAAGTAGCTACCTCACGGTAGTAGAGGAATAATAAATGGTTTTTCTTTTTTATAGTGTTTGGTATATTTTCCAAATCAAAAAATGGCTGCAATTACTTTAAAATTTATCTTAGAAAAATAAATGCTAATTGGATGTGTTTATTTTTTTTTTTTGAGGAAGATCAGCTCTGAGCTAACATCTGATGCCAAGCCTCCTCTTTTTTTTTTTTCCTGCTGAGGAAGATTGGCCCTGAGCTAACATCCATGCCTATCTTCCTCTACTTTATGTGGGACGCCACCACAGCACGGCTTGACAAGCAGTGCATCGGTGCACACCTGGGATCTGAACTTGTGAACCCTGGGCTGCCACGCGGAGCATGCACACTTAACCGCTTGTGCCACCTGGCCAGCCCCTAATTTTCATTTTTAAAGGAACTATTTCCTATCAGTGGCTCCTTGTGGTAAGAATTTCACTTCCTTTTTTTTTTTTTTTTTGGTGAGGAAGATTGGCCGTCAGCTAACATCTGTGCCAACCTTCCTCTATTTTGTATATAGGACGCCGCCACAGCATGGCTTGAAGAGCACGGCTTGGTCTTCGCCCAGCATCTGAACCCGCAAACCCCAGGCTGCCAAAGTGGAGTGCACAAACTTAACCACTTCACCACTGGGCCGGCCCCATGAATTTCACTTGCTGAATTTTCTCAGAAGTAGGATCTCATCCAGAGTAAGATCAAGGCCAAATGAGAGGGGTTTTTTGTTTGTTTCTCAAAGCACTAGTTTGTTTTCACACTATTCTGCCAATCAATGGGAAAGAATAACGTGGGACAAATGGTATCCCAGTTCTAATTATATTAGTAGATATAATCCCATTGATTACTACTAATTTTGTTATGAAGCAAAGCCGGTCTGTGATATTCACTTTGTCAAACAAAATTTCTTACCCTAGAGTTGGACAACTTACACTCAGTGTACAGGCAAAAACCTCATATAAATCTATAGCTTCAAAATCCTTTCAATTTAATTAGACTAAACAACCATCTCTTTCAGATTACATTTGTTTTCAAAACTACTTTTAGAACTGTTCGATTTACTTTTCTATTGCTTACGTCTCTCCTGTTTGCATTTGAACTACGAATACAGCGCCACAGAGGAGCAGAGTGGTATTGTCAGCCGTCTTCGTCTGCCCTGGTGCTTTCCACACCCTGCGTTCCTCTGCTATTCATAGCGCTGTCCTCAGGCTCACATGGGGTGCAGAGTTCAAGGAGCTACTTCCCCCAGAGAAAGAGTTAGTATATACAGAATGAGATAGCAAATCTTTGGAATGTCACAGACCAGCTGTTGAAGGCAATGTTCCTATAGCAAATCCCTGGGCTCCACCAATGTCTCAGCCATTCCCTTGTGCGGAAGCAGCAATCAGAGAGAATAAAAGCAGCCCTCAGCCCACGTGCTGTATCAACTCAGATGCCTGTGTGAGCTCAGGCCTCCGAACGTCCACTGCTGCCAGGCTATTTAAAGCTAAGGATTAGGCAGCGAGAGCAGCTGCATTACATTTTGCCATCTTCTGAAATCTAAAATTCGAAGTAGCATCTAAAGAGCATAGATTAAAACTCTTTGAATTCAGTAATTGTACTTTTTAAAGTGGTTTCCTAAACTTAATATTAACTTATGAGTATGAATAATACATATCTTATTACTATTTCATGAGTATCCACAGAAAAGATATTGCTTTTTAAAAAACACTGCGGATAACATTCAGTTTAGCTAAAAACCAACAACAAAAAAAGAATGAGGTACATATTTGGAACTTTTAAAAAATAAGATTTATATCTGCAAATTCCAACGTAAGTTTAAGGCAGTAACAACTGTAGTGAATCATAAATATATTTCAGACCCGGTTTCCAAGTACTGTATTTTAACCTGCAGACTCTATATTTACAAAGCTCCACTGTAATTAAAATACACTGAAAAGTTTATCAAGGGGAGGGGATCACAACTCTTTTTAGCAATATAAAAAGTTGTCATAAAATGGATGAGAATTCCTTAAATTAGTATGGCTTTTTTGCCACAGTTATTACAAATGCAGCTTCTCTGGCATTGTTGGAATAATGAAAAATCATTCTGAGTTCTCTCTAGTATCAAACTAGTCTCCCAAATTGTCAATGTTTCAGATGTCAGACTAGCATCACAGTGAGCTGTAGGAACATATTTAACAATTTTCCTTTCTGAGTAAGAATAACAAAGACAGCCTCAACATACCAGGAACTATGTCTATATTTTTAATGTTCATAAAAATCATTTCAAACGGGGGTAATACAAACATGCCCGTGGTACCATTCATTGGCTGAACTGTAATCTTCCTCGTGTGCTGTGAACAGGAACCAATAAGATTTCACTGAGTCTCAACTGGATCCTTTACTTCCACCACCAGAATCCCATCGTGACAGAGGATCGCGGACAAATCTTTGGTTTCAACGCCATCTGGCAGTTTGTACTGCCGAGTGAAGCTTCTTGAGATGAAACCATGCTCGTCCATTCTGCTTCCATGCTGAGCCTTAATCAGCAGCCAGCCTTCAAAGGTCTGAATGATGATATCTTCGGGGAGGAACTGGACCACGTCCAGCAGGATCTGGAAGCGGGATTTGCCTGCTTGGGGCGGCCTCTCTGCCGCTGAGTCCACTGCAGGAGCCTGGGCCGCCCTGGCTTTTCCCAGGTCCACGGTGGTTGGCCCGGGCAGCGCATATAAAGCATGATCCAGCCTGCAGTCTTCCAAACCGCGAGCTTCAAACTCCTCCTCGTAACGCACTGGAGTCTCTATGAGGTGCCTCAGAATGATTTTTGCCATCGTGGCGGCAGAAACAGCATGGAACAGCTCCCCTTCAGTCTACGTCCAGTCGGCGGCGAACCCTCGCAGTTGTCTCCTGACTAGATTATAAATCGGAGCAGCTAGTCGCTTATAGTCCTGCGCAGACGCAACCGCTTAATTAGGCCTGAATCATAGCACCACACACTCACTCTTGTCTTTTCACACAGGCTGACAATGAACGGCTATTTATAGGGCATGTTTGGGAGTTGCATTTAGCACACAGCCGGTTCAAGCTGCAGAATCAAGGGCTGCCCTTACATTCTCAGTTATCCTTGGCACATGTGTCTGCCTTGCTTACCTCACGAGAAAAAGAGAGAATCAGAAACAGTATTTTAAAAATATCTGAGTGAGTGCACTGTCCTTGTGAGCTACAATGATTTAAGGGACTATGGCTTCTTAGAACAGTCCAGAGATGTGCACTCATCTTATAATAAGAGCTAAGACTGTGTGTCCTAGTCTCCAAGTGCAAAGCCGGGAGAGATGAATCTAGCTGAAACTGATGAGGAATTAAGATAAACACACACACATTCAAATCTCAAACATTCAACAAACCCTCAGCCCTCTGTCCTATATATTTTCTTTTATTTCCTCTTTTAATCTTTTTGTCCTTAAGAGACATCTGAGCCACATCATCTGGGTTTATTACATTTGACTCATCAAAAGTGAAATCAGATGGCTAGGCTAGAGAAATGTCAAACCTCAGATGGGGGTTGCAGGGACACAGAATGGGGAATCTTAGTAATGAGAATAGAGCCTCAGTGGAGAGAAAAAAGCTTTGAACTATTCAGTATTAAAGCCCAGAAAACTAAGGATTTTCCATTCAACTAGTCAAATCTAGTTGCAGCTCTGCTATTGAATTGGCAAAGATAAATTACATATAATGTCTCAACTATAACACCCTTTATACTAAAGTTCCATTGAAAAATAATGAGGCAACTCTTTATCCACTGCTATAAAAGGGTCTCCAAGACTTAAGTAAAAAAGAGAAGTTCAGAACAGCATATAATATGCTACTATTTTCACTTTTTTTATAAGTAGGTATTTGCTTATATAGATAGAATCTCTCTGAAAGATCTGTTGCTGGGAACAGTGGTTGCCTCCTGGGTGGGTAATGGGGTGATGGAAGGGCAGGGGCTGGAGGGAGACTTGCTTTTCAATATAAACACATTTGTGCCTTTTATTTCTCCGACGTGTATATAATGCAAATACACACAAGAAGGGTTAAAATATAAAAAACTTCCTCTCTACGGAGGTGAGAGGAATAGGAATTTTCTAGAACAGGAATACTTTTACTTTAATAACATATCCATTTTCTTAGAATGAAAGAAAATGCCTATAAAATTTTTTTAAATCAGAAAACAGAAGGGAATTATCTCCTTTAGCTCCTTTTTATTACTCTAGAAACCCCTGTGGATATTTTGGTATACAGTTAAGAATATGCCCTAATAATGCTGTTCACACTCAGCTTTTGACCTGAACTTTACAGGTTGGTGGCCCTCAAGGGAAAAATGTAGACTTTCAGATATGTTAATGTCCCCTGGCTCATAAAATGTTGAGAGATATGGTCACTGGTGCTGCTCTGAGTGGTAAGTCAAGAACAGAGCTCACTGCTGGTGCTGGCAGGAATTAGATAGGATATTAAGGATTTGGCTTTAAAATGCTAGAAAAAGTCACAGCAAAATTGAGAGGAAGGTACAGAGATTTCCCATATACTCCGTGTCCCCACACATGGAGAGCCTCCCCTGTTATTAACATCCCACACCAGAGTGGTACATTTGTTACAGCTGATGAGCCTACGTTGACACATCATGATCACCCAGAGGCCATAGTTTATGTTGGGGGGTTCACTCCTGGTGTTGTAGAGTCTGTGTAGATTCTATCCAAATCTATGGATTTGGACAAATATATAATGATGTGTATCCACCGCTATAGTACCACACAGAGTAGTTTCACTGCCCTAAAAATCCTCTGTGCTTCACCCATTCATCCCTCCCTCCATGCAAGCCCTGCTCTAAAAAATAAAGTTTATTTATTTATTTTTATTTTTATTTTTTTTGTGTGAGGAAGATCAGCCCTGAGCTAACATCTGTGCTAATCCTCCTCTTTTTGCTGAGGAAGACTGGCTCTGAGCTAACATCTATTGCCAATCCTCCTCCTGTTTTTTCCCCCAAAGCCCCAGTAGATAGTTGTATGTCATAGTTGCATATCCTTCTAGTTGCTGTGTGTGGGACGCAGCCTCAGCATGGCCAGAGAAGTCGTGCGTCGGTGTGCGCCCGGGATCCGAACCCGGGCTGCCAGTAGCGGAGCACATGCACTTAACCACTAAGCCACGGGGACGGCCCAATAAAGTTTATTTAAAGAACTAAAATTAAAAAGTAAAACAGCTCTAAAAAATAAACTCTATTCAAAAAACACTGGAAAGATGCTGCTAGGGTGGGCAGAGAAAAACGTATCCAATGAATCCTGTAGTTTCTCGCACCCAGGGACCTCCACACTAGGAAAGGAGGCCTAGTTGTGAGTGACGCTTTGGCATGTGATTGTGTTTGTTGAGGTTAGAAATGAGCATCCACATTTCTGACGCAACACTCGAGACTTCTACAGTTTTTCCAAAACTGCCCTTTAACCCTAATCCTACACCAGAACTGCCAATCCTCCTTGACTACCTTGACCCTTTGTCCCTTTGGAGAATCTACCAGGCTTCCGAACTGATCTCCCTGCCCCTGCTCTTTCCCTACTGCCCATCTCCACATTGTAACCAGAGCAGCTGTTCTAGAATGTAGTATAGATTATGTCACTCCCTTGCTTTAAAAATCCCAATCAGGGGGCCAGCCCGGTTGCGCAGCGGTTAAGTGCACGCGCTCCACTGCCTCGGCAGGCCCCAATAGCGCACCAACGCACCTCTTGTCAAGCCATGCTGTGGTGGCGTCCCATATAAAGTAGACGAAGATGGGCACAGATGTTAGCCCAGGGCCAGTCTTCCTCAGCAAAAAGAGGAGGATTGGCATCGGATGTTAGCTCAGGGCTTATCTTCCTCATTAAAAAAAATAAAATCCCAATCAGAAGATTCTAGTTGTAACCAGAATGAAATACAAAACCCTTATCTTGGCCTTCAAGAACCTATTACTGGCCCCTGCTAACCTTCTCCCTCCCTCTCTCCCTTGATCGTGTGATTCATCCACAATGGCGTCCTGTCTGTCCTTGAATGCTCCAAGACTGTTTCTTCCTCAGGTCCTTTGCACTTGGAGTCTCTTTTGCTTTGAAAGCTCCACTCTCAGAATGCCTCAAGATCACCTCCTCTTACCGTTCAGGCTTCCGGTGACATGTCATCTCTTCAGGCAGGTCTTTCCTGACCATCCAGAGAGTCCTCCTGTCACTCCATCACAGTATCCTATTTTATCTTCATCGCCATCACCCGCATCTAAAACTCTTACTTACAGATTTGTATTCCGTTTGGGGAAGGCAAACAATGGCGCTTTGAGGTCAAAACTGTAGGGTTCACTGCTGTGTCCCCAGCAGCTAAGAGCACCTGGAAAGTGACAGATGTGCTAGGTATTTGTTGAAGGGAAAAAAATCAAACTGCTACAAATTTTGTGCTTTTTATTTCAGCTGGCCCTCGATGCCACTTGGCCATGCTTCTGTGTACTTCGGTCAGCTTCTCCTGTTTCTCCAACGTGGAGATTGCAAACTTCTTCCTCTCCTCAGCCCTTCCCTGGTGTCCCAGGTCTCACTCTCCCAGATGAGGTGACTTCCCTTGAGGCCTTCTGCTTTCACAACCAGACATCTCAGAGGGAGAGAAGTCTCCCTTCACCTCTGCTCGTGATCCCCTTGTCCCCTCCCTCCTCCTCTGGGCTTTTGTCCAACCAGTGATCCCTTTGTGGATGTTCTCACTATCTGTGGGCTCCTCTCCATCAGCCTAAGTCAAGAATGGCCCATCTTTTTTTTATTATTATTGAAGAATAATTAACATACAATATCCTATTAGTTTCAGGTGTAAATCATAGTGATTCGATATTTATATACATTACAAAATGCCATGGACCATAATAAGTCTAGTTACCATCTGTCACCATACGAAGTTATTACAATATTATTGACTATATTCCCTAGACTGTACATTACATCCCCATGACTTACTCATTTCATAACTGGAAGTTTGTACCCCCTAATCTCTTTCACCTATTTCACCCACACCCCCACCCCTCCCTCATCTGGTATCCACTAGTTAGTTTGTTGTATCTATGAGTCTGTTTCTGTTTAGTTTTGTTTGTTCATTTGTTTTGTTTTTTAGATTCCACATGTAACGAAATCATACGGTATTTGTCTTTATCTGTGTGACTTATTTCACTTAGTATAACACACTCTATGTCCATCCATGTTGTTGCAAATGGCAAGATTTCATTCTTTTTACGGCTGAGTAATATTCCATTATACATACATACCACGTGTTCTTTATCCATTCATCTACTGATGGGCACTTAGGTTGCTTCCATATCTTGGCTATTGTAAATAATGCTGCAGTGAACATACAGGTGCCTATATCTTTTCAAATTAATGTTTTTGTTTTCTTCAGATAAATACCCAGAAGTGGAATTGTTGGATCTATAGCAGGTTTATTTTAATTTTTTGAGGAATTTTCACACCGTTTTCCATGCAGTTGCACCAATTTACATTCTCACCAACGGTATACAAGAGTTCTCTTTTCTCCACACCCTCACCAACACTTGTTATTTTTTGTCTTTTCGATAATAGCCATTGTGACAGGTGTGGGGTGGTATCTTATTGTGGTTTTGATCTGCATTTCTCTGATAATTAGTGACGTTGAGCATCTTTTCATGCGCCTGTTGGCCATCTGTGTGTCTTCTTTGGAAAAATGTCTATTCAAGTCTTTGCCTATTTTTTAATTGGGTTTTTTTTATAGTAAGTTGTGTAAGTTCTTGATATATTTGGTTATTAACCCCTTATCAGATGTGTGATTTGCAAATATCTTCTCGCATTCAGTAGGTTGCCTTTTTGTTTTGTTGATGGTTTCCTTCACTGTGCAAAAGTTTTTTTAGTTTAATGTAATCCCATTTGTTTATTTTTGGTTCTGTTGCCCTTGCCTGAGGAGACTGTCTAAAAACACATTCTAAAAAAACATTGCTAAGACTGATATCAAAGAGCTAACTGCCTATATTTTCTCCTACGAGTTTAAAGGTTTCAGGTTTTACATCCCAGCCTTTAATCCATTTTGAGTTTATTTTTGTGTATGGTGTACAAAAGTGGTTCAGTTTCATTCTT